GTACATACGCCACATGCAGACAAGCACGTACAGTAACATCATACATCCACCCTACAGAACGATCAGTACACGTACACATTTTATATTCACTGCCGTTGGTAGACTATGGCTGTTGGCAATCCGGACTTGTCAAACAGCACCCGTAGTCAACCGTCTGAGAAGACTGTCCATTTGTATGTGTTCGGAGATTCACTTAGTGACTCGGGCAATGTTGCCGCACTTGTAGCGAACATCTCCACAAGCTCAGTCTTCTGCAACGGTAGGTACGGCGATGGACCTGTGTGGCACGACTACTTGGAACATGTGCTCAACGGGACACATCATGGGCATCTCTTCACAGGATGCGAGCATGTCGTGTCGATTGGGAAGGGCAAGGAAGGTGAGAATAAGGAGGCTTGTCAGAGCGGTGGAAGAGACAGCAATCTCGATATCAAAATTACTGTAAGTGGGGAGTATGATCTGTTGAAAGCTGAACGATGTCATGCATTTGATTGTGCGGGTGGTAGTAGAAGTGCAACAGCAACTCAGCCTGACGGCATAGCTGATTGTACCATGTGTAGCCGTGCCAGTGCAACGAACAACGAAAACTGCGCTAGTGTTAAGCACAGGGACACCACAGTCACGCATGAATATCATATATCGAGCGAGAATACCAGTACACCTCCAGCAGGCGGGAGAGTGTCGCCGAGACCTTCTGAACGAACCCGCCATGCTCATGCAGCGGAACTGCTCACAGGTCACACATCAGACACCAGGATTGATGAGAGTGGTGTTAATGAGGTTACTGCGTTTGCCGTTCACGATAACGTGCTGAATCGTTTTGGAAACAACCCCGGGGGTAACAATGCCCGTTATGAGCACCTGTCCGATGTCGAGTGGGAGCACATCATCGAGGACGACATTGAATGCGATGCAATGCAATACGGAACGGAATACAGCACTGACACTATCACACACGTTAGTGTTTACGATGACAGTCTAGCTAAGCCATCGCCGAGGGGAGAGATGCTAATCACGACACTGGCCATAAATGAGACAGAGTGCGCGTACACGGTGAAGGTACATAACTATGCACATGGAGGATCCACCACCTGCAACGATGCGCAGCAAGGATTTGCGACGTATGTGAATCCTGTCGCGATGTGTGCGTGTTGTGTGTATATGTTGATACCATGAACGTATGGACATGTAACGATTCTCGACAAAGATATGCGACGTGTGTGGATCCTGTCGCGATGTGTGTGTGTTGTGTGTGTGTGTTGATCCCTTGTACGTATGAACATGCAACGATTCTCGGCAAGGATTCGCGACTTATGTGAATCCTGTCGCGATGTGTGCGTGTTGTGTGTGTGCGAAAGCTGATCTCTCGTATGTGTATCACACTTGTCTAAACACTTTGACTGTTTTCCTCGATGCTGCTTGTGGTATATACTCGTGTCTTGGACACTTCACATTCCTCCGAGCGAGTCTACCACATCCAACGTTACGCTGCAAGGATTTGCGACGTGGATGAATGTTGTTTGTGGTGTCTGCGTGTTTTGTTCATTTAAGCTTGTCCCTAGTATATACGGTACGCTTCGCCTGTGTCCAGACTGTGTTGCTTTTCTGCTGGTGCTGTCGGGGTATCTGATGCCTCAGATACTTGAAGTGGCAGACGGAGAGTTGTCCACTTGCACCATCGCGCTGCAAGGATTTGCGGTGAAATCTGTCGAAATGTGTGTGGGCTGTATGTGTGCATTGCTTAAGCCTTCATATGTATAATGTATTAATCTTAAAAACTATATTCTTCTATATGATGCTACTGTTGGTATATGCTCGTGGGGTGCACTGGGTGTATTGTAATGTTTGTTAAGAGTTTGTTCGACCTCGACCTTTATTCTCTCTAGACGCCCATCCAGTACTTAGTCAGTTGTCAGACTTGTACATATATATTCATATATATACATATATACATATATATAT